GATCTGGAGGTTCTCTTGTTGAATGGTTTTTCTAGCCTACCATTAGTTTGTCTCTGAGCGGTAAAAGCATTTTTCAAATCGAGAGAGGCTTATGACATCAAGTATAAAATGAAAAAAAAAAAACCCACATTGATTTATTCCTTGTCTCCAGCAGAACAGCAACTATTGCTGCTAATGGAGGGCTTTTTGAGCTGTTGAAATCATTGCATACCCGGTACCAGCACTGAACAACTTATTTGGAAAGCAGAAATGACTCTGTTGGGGACACTGGGAAAGTTGGCCATCTATTCTAAAGCATCCTTTAAATATTGGTGGCTCAGGTGCTCTGAAAGCACTGGTAGAGGAGAGTTATACATTTTACAAAAAGAAAAGGAAGACTTGTGGCACCTTAGAGACCGACCAATTTATTTGAGCATAAGCTTTCGTGAGCTACAGCTCACTTCATCGGATGCATTCAGTGGATTCACATCCGATGAAGTGAGCTGTAGCTCACGAAAGCTCATGCTCAAATAAATTGGTAGGTCTCTAAGGTGCCACAAGTCCTCCTTTTCTTTTTGCGAATACAGACTAACACAGCTGCTACTCTGAATATTTTACAAAGGTTTTCATAAAAGAGTTTAATTTTTGATCAAATTCTTCATGCAGGGCTGGCGTTTGGCACCCATGAAGCCCACTGCCATGTGCTCCCTGCTGCTAATTGCTGCAGATTGCATCGGTAGCTTCTGGCCCGTGGGCTGCATGGACTGTGCCTCTGCACCTTCGCAACGGAAGGGTAAGGAAGCCTAGTGGAGGAGCTCCAGCTCAGCTGCTTGCAGCCAACTACACCAGCAAACCCAGGATAGGCAGCTGAGCTCTGAGTTTCACTGCTGCAGGGCATGGAGGTTGAGGCCTAGGAGTGTGTGACCAGCACGAGAGAACAGAGAGGAGTAGAGAACATTGATGCTCATTGGGAGCTCATCATCTGGAGCATTGGCACAGCAGCAGAAGCCATCTGGGCAGCCAGCATTTTCCCCCATACTCACAGAAAGATCATTTCGAGCAGCAGCAGGAGGTGGTTGCTCCCTCCTTGCCCAGACATCATCAGATACTCCCAAGAGGCTAGGCTGTGTAAGTTTGCTCTAAAACATAAGGGCCTGATCCTCAAGTACAAGAGGACCTCTGGTAGTGTAAAGGAGCATTAAAATGGGTGGAAGTATAATTTAATAGTGTCATCTTTTTAAAATGAGTTATTCTTGTTGCTACCCTGGCTATGTTATTCTTTATATGCCCACTATTCATCATAGGTAAGCAGACTAATTTCCTTTAAGATTCCTTCCCTCAGTTCTACTAGTAGAATATCATTGCAGTGTCCTGTCTTATTAGTTCACAGTCCTTTGGGACAAAGTGTAATTCAATGAGATGCTCTCTTCAATTCTCCTTTTTGTTTTTCAGAGAAACTCTTTAATAAACAAAAGAAAACAAAAAAGTCAGCCACAGTTTCTCTAGTTGTTGCTTAAATATCAAAGCTCTTCAAGTCCCATATTGTGATGGTTGCTGTCTTTTTGAATAATGTCCTTTTCCAGAGTAAGAATACTATGGATAGAAATAGAACTATGCATATCCAATGAGTTATTATTAAATACATCCGCTAAAAGTTTGCCAAGTTCTTTCACACTTTCCTTAAAATTCTGGGATGGATCCCATTCTGCTCTGGAGGTTTTTTCACTCATCAGATTTACTTTCTGTTCACTTGGTTTGGCATAATCCAGATTTCCTTCTGAAATTTCTTTCCTCTCTTGTGACATTTGCCTTCAATCCCCTGTATAGATAGAGTGACACAGGACTACCGAGTTCCTTAACAATGATATTTTTGATCAATGAATCACACTGTCTATGGTAGGTCTGAATGTCTCTTTAAACTCCTTTTCCTAATGTATTTGAAAGCTGTCTTGTTTGCAGCACTCCAAATCCAAAGTAACACCATTCACTTAAATATAAAATAATCAGGGCCAGATACTTACCTGGTGTAAATCACCATATCTCCATTGACTTCCATGGAGCTAAGCCCATTTAGACCTACTACAGACCTGGTTCTCGAGAGTCCTTGTCATCTGGATAATTCTTCATCCTTGGGTATTATTTTTTCTATTTGACCGATAAGGGTTTTATGAATCAGACATTTAAAAGGAAGTTAAGTAGGTGATATCCAAGCGATCCCATTTGGATTCACGTGGTATGCTAAGCCATTGCCTGAACTTTCCCTTGGTCAGAGGTTTCCTTGGCTGTCACACTGTCTGGGTTAGTGTGTGCTAGAAATATATCTATATTAGTCATGCCAGTTTAAAAAGTGTATTTTGCAGGCTAACATGCTGCCCACGTATTCCTATTTGTAAATTCCAAGAAAATCTAGATATTTATTAAAACGTATTAGAACATGGAAGGGACATTCTTGTTTCATTAAACGCATCTTAAACACATCTGTGGTTGATTTGTACGTTGTTATTTACATATCAGAAAATATAGCCCATGACTAGAATGGGAGATAAATCATAAAATAAGATGCGACCAACTTGGCAAACTACACCCTCAACAAACTGATCCTATCTTAGGTGAATGTGCAGTTTCACACCTACCACATCACACAACTGTTTGCAGGCAATGCTGGCCCACTGGCCAGAGACAGACTGTGAGGGGGCCAGATACCAAAAAGCAAGAATTCTTTGCTGCAAAACTGTTTCCTAGACTTAGCATTTGGCTCCTGCAGCTGCCAATGGCTCTCTGTAAGGAATCATGGCTGGTTCCTTCAGTGCTGAAGCCTGCAGAAGAGAACTCTGCACTGGAGAGCACACAGAAACCAACCAGCAACAGGAAAAGGGAGTTTCACAAGACAGCATGTAGACTGGGCTGTGGGTTGTAAAAAATCAGCTAGCTTTCTATCTAGAACAGCTGACTTGATGTCTTGACTAATGCAGTGGGGATGATAATACCTTCCCCCAGGTGGTTCTTTGGGTTTGTTTGGGAGCTCAGAGCTGTTTGGGAGCATGGTGCCGCTGAGTGCTATCGGTGAGGTGCTCAGCAACCTTAATACCGCTGACTTCAGTAGGAGACCAGGATGCTCAGCTTCTTGCAAGGGATGTTCAGGAATTAGTTTGCCCAGCACATTTGCACCATATGAATGCTAAGTAGTAGTTTTGTACTCAAATGTAGATGCTCATGGAGTCACATGATGTGATGTGAGCCAGGCACAGACCTTGAAGAAGGAGGTGGGCTTCATGCAAAGAGTTTAAGCATACTATGAAAGTCACTTAACACATGTTGATGTAACCCACTAGTCAGTGTGGGTAATGTGACCGTCTGCGCCCAATCCATAAAGGATGTGAGCTTGTTACAGCCTCTGGCTACAGAGGCTGGCTGTTCAGCTCAAGCTGCAGTAATTTATGCTTTCAGCTCAGGAGGTCCCCAGTTTAATCCCTGCTGTTGGCCAACATGACAGCTGTCACAGAAGTGGGGATTTATCCAGTATTTGACTTTGCTGTGAGTCTCAGATACTTGGATGAGCTTTTTCTATCTGGAGGAAATATGGAATCCACCGATCAATGTGTGCGATGTGTTCCCTAACAGAGTGTGCGAGTCTGGTACAGATCTCAGCCATAGGGATTAGGGGCCAGATCCTTAGCTGGTGTAAATTGTCATTGCTCCATTGAAGCTTGTTGTGCTATGATAATTTAGCTCAGGACCTGCCCCTTTAGCTCAAGCTGTAGATACTTGTGCATTTAGCTCTGCAGGTCCCTGGTTCAGTCCCCAGTGTTAGCCAAGATAGTGGCCATCATGTTGACTGAAGGGTTCCTCCAGGCATAGGTGTGGTGTGCATGAAGGAGAGGAATGAAATGGTGAGGAAAGAGCTTGGGTGGAGCCCAGGGTGAAGAGAAATGGGTGAAGAAGAGAAATCCACTGGAGAGATCTCAAAAAGAGAGAGGCGTGGTCAGAGCAGAAGGTAGGGAAGGCTATCTAGGCAGTGGGAGTTTGCACACACTGAACTAGAGAGAGATGAGATTGGGGAAAGGACAGTGAGTAGGAGTTTATAGTAACAGAGGCAGGAAACTATGAGAGAGCACAGACCAGAGTTTCAGCAAAGGACAAAATTAAACATGAGAGAGAATGTGAGCAAAGGGTATTTCCCATATTAGTTTGGTAGCCTTTTGACAAAAGCTTTCGTGCTACATTGGGGATGTAATAATATACTCGGAGAATCTTGAAACGCCTGTTACTTCAGAAATGCCTGTTCTGATTGACAGTCAGAAAAAATTTTCTTGTGAGTTTGACCTACTGCAAATTAAAATAAATCACAAATCTGACAAATTTGACCAGTTTTGGAAGAATTTTTCATAAAAATGTAAATGACCGTACTTGTTTAGGGCAGAGACTGCCATTCCTGTTTAAAATTTGGTGCCATTGGCCTGTTTATTATAATGCACCATCAGTTTTTGGGCAAAACTCACTGATTTCAGTAGGCACTTCAGCTGTAAAATTGATGGCATGTGTCTCGGTGCATAAGAAATAAATGCCTCATCTGGCACCATAGAAGTCAATGGGAATTTTGTAATTGACTTCAGTGAGCTCAAGGTCAAGTTTTGAGAAAATATATTAGAGGCAATTCAGCATTACAAGAACTACAGTAAGTAATAGAGTTTTGCAGCCAGATTTGCCGCTCTGTGTCTCCAGTTTTACACCAGTGTAATTCCATTGACTTCACTGAAGTTACTCTGGCATAAAATTGGGGTAACAAAATGGTGAATCGAGACCTTTATATTTTCATCGGATTGTTTTAATTTTTTAACAGTATTTCTAAGCTTTATTTCCCTTTGTTATACATATAACATGTAATTAGCAAATGTTATGCGTGTTACAGAAGTCAGTGAAACCATGAAAAATAAACCAACCAGTACAAAACAGTTCGTAAAGGGCGCCAATGCCATCTTATATCAGGGCAGAACTAAAACAGCTAATCTTTCTCTTTACAGGTGCTCCGTTCTGCTGCAGATTGGTCAGCTGGTATCAAGTATCATGAAGAATCCATCCACAATGCTTATGTTAGCGTGATAGAAAACAGCAAACACTACATCTATATCGAAGTAAGTACCGAGGATGCAAGATAATGGCAGTTTGGTTCAATGAAGTGCTGAGCACATCCTGTGACCCTCAGCAGCATAGTTCTTTATTTCATTTTCCTTTTGTAAATTTTGAGACTTTAATATTAATATAGAGCCTGATCTGGAGCCCCCAGATGTCGATAGGATTATGTCCATTGACTTGAATAGGCTTTGGATCAGGTCAGTAATTAATGTACCAGTACAGAACTCTTAAGGATGGGTTAAAATACAAGGCCACTCCGTTACTGTTTCTCTTTCCAGAACCTCTAGCAATTTTTGTCTCCCATGCAATATTCTTCCAACTGCCTTCTTGGCTCTGCTGCATTCCCAGCTCTACATATCAAAGTGTTTGGTCTCCCATCGATGTGCAGTGGACTCACTTAATAGTATCTTAGAACTTGCATAATTCTCCTCTGTATGAATGGCTTTATAAATGCAGGAATAAATGGCTGAATGGAGACACTTATGCTGTATCTGTTTCCATCTATTGTTTGGATGTTTTTTACTTGGTAGTGTTTAAAGAGGGAGATTAATCAAGAATAATTATTCCCCCTGAGCGCGCACACAGACACCATTTAATTAAAATAATACATAGCCATCCAGGAAAACGTTGTACAGGATGTAGCTTTATTTGCTTCTTGACTCAGAATAGTCCCACAACCCTGAAAGCATTTATGGCTTTGTAGACAGCATGGGTGAATCCTGGCCCCAGTAAGGTCAATAGCAAAATGCCCATTGACTTCAATGAGACAGGATTTCACCTCATGTGTCAAAGTAAGAGTTTCACAATGGCAATAATGCCAAATAATTATCTGAAGATAATTACATGCTTGGGAAGCAGCCTCTAACTTGCATATGCTTCATGCTTAGTCATAGCCACAAAATCTGATTATCATTATTTTTTTTTTTTTTTTTACAATTCTGAGGATGGCTCATTTGAGGCCATTATCTATGCTGATGCTGAAAACAGTCACTTAATTTTTTTCTTATCCTAACAAAAATCATACATTCTGGGTTTTGAGATTTTTGTAGCAATTAAACCCGGTGATCTTATTGTGTCATTGCTGTTCTGTGTTCAGCAAAAATGTTTCTTTCAAACTGTAGCAAAATGGGGCCCCAGCCCAATGTCTGTTTATTTATCTATCCATCCCCCATTATTGTAGTATCTGAATGCATGACGATCTTTAATGTATTAATCCTCTCAACCTCTCTGTGAGGCAGGACAGTGCTACTATCCCCATTTCACAGAAGGTGAGCTGAGGCACAGAAAGACTAACTGATTTGTATAAGGGCATTGAGGAAGTCAGTGGTGGACCAGGAAAGTGAATCTGGGTACTCTGTGTCCCAGGCCTAACCACTGAACCATCATCCTTGACAAAAAGACGGTGAGATGATTCTGAATTTCTTTGTGTTCACTTTTCCCTTAGAACCAATTTTTTATTAGCTGTGCTGATGACAAAGTCGTTTCTAACAAGATTGGAGATACCATCGCTCGGAGAATTCTTAAAGCACACAGGTATTTTTTTGTTTTCAAAAGAACTGTCAGATTGTTGTTACTAGGATGATATTAAAAATACGGTAAATGGAATTCAGACTGCATTTGTAAGACACAGTTTAAATAATACGTAAAGGGACACAGTCCTTACTCAGAGGCAACATTTATTTGGGCCAAATTCTGCTCTGTTACACCAATGTAAATCTGCAATAACTCCACTGAAGTTGACAGCATTATTCTGGACTTGTACTGGTGTCGCTGAGTGTAGAATTTGGCCTTATAAGATATGTTATTTCAGTCAAAAAGCAAGTTGTTGGTACTGTATTTGCTACATCTTAACTAACATTATGGGTCCATTGCCAACATTAGTTTCATGATTGTAACTGTTCTTCAACTTTATACACAAGTAAGTTTAATCATATAAACTGGATACATGGTTTATTGAAGGTCTCTATGCACAGGATTGCTTTTAAATGGGGAGAGTGAAAGCTGCCATACTCTGAGGAATTTGACGGTGCTTCAAGTTTAAACCATTACTGCACTGCCAGCCCCTTCTCTGATAAGTGCTGGAGGATATTTACAATCCCCACATCACTGCAAGAGAACCATAGTATTTTAAATTGTACAGTAGTTACAGCAGGTTGCATGGGTGGATCAGAGTCAGATATCTTAGTGCTGCCACGTAAGAACTGGTCCAGTGATCAGGTGTCTAATTGGAGCGTTTAGCAACAAAGGAATTAGTTTTGCCTTATCTATGATCCTGGACAGCTTTGCTTAGGTATGTTTTTCTGGTGTCTATCTTTCAGGATATACCTACACTGCAATAAAAGATCCATAGCTGGTCTGGGTTAGCTGACTCAGGCTCGTAGGACTCAGGCTGCGGGGCTATAAAACTACAGTGTAGATGTTCAGGCTAGGGCTGGAGCCCAGGCTGTGAGACCCCACGAGGGGGGAGGGTCTCAGAGCCCAGGCGCCAGGCCAAGCCCAAACATTTACATTGCTATTTTTAGCCCTGCAGCCCAAGCCCCGCTAGCCTGAGTCAGTTGACTGGGTTTCAGGCTTGGTGCCATGGGGTTTTTACGCAGTTTAGACATACCCTAAGACACATTTGTCATACCCTACGGTGTTGGATTGAGTTTATTGGAAACCTTCCTCTTTTTCCTTCCCCCTTTCAGCTAACACTTGTGCATTTCACTGTGCATGTGGATGAGTTTCATTTACTTGCAATATCTGGTCTCTAAATATTCCTCTGATGCATAAGCATGTATGAACTGATTTTCAGAGGTGTTAAGGTCCTCAGAAACCCATTGGAGTCATCTCAATTTCACTCTCTTCAGCGCTTCAATATGAAATACAGACAAGTGAAGGAAGTGACACTCCTGAGAGAGAGGGAGAGTCTGATTTTCTTCTTCCTTACGTTGGTGTAAATCAGGAGTCATTAAGATGATAGCAAACCAGTGTGAGGTCAGAATCTGGTTTGAAGTGGTCAGAAACACCATGGAAGAAAGACAGACAGTGGAGAAATTGGTTTGCTTCAACATGAACACCACGGTCTACCTAACAACCAGAAGGTGGGACAACTTGGGGATAGATACAGGAACATGGTCAGTGAGCAATGTATAGTGAAGGTAACTGTACCATGCTATGGAGAAAAGCCTGTAGGCTGATTCTCTTCTCACTTCAGTGAAGTCTATGGAATTACACTTGGGTAAAATCAGTGAGAGAAGAATCTGATCCTGCATCTGCAATTGGATATACGTCAAAGCCAGAAATATTTTGTTGACCAAATTTACTCGCTTTTGCAGTGTGCCTCACAATGGCATTCAGTATTCAAAAGTGCTAGTATTTGCATGGCAACCCAGTGCTTCTGGCTCCCTGGCATTTGGCCATTGTGGTGCAGCATAGTCTCAATCTACCAGCATAGTCTTGTTAAGCTGGAGAGCCATTCCAAACATATTGTAGATTTCTTCCCTATCCATAATGTCATATTTATCTTGCCAAGACTGGATGTAATAGGTTGTTTTAACATGTACTGTTGAACTGGGTTTCCACTTCATAGTTTAAACAGCTACATTAGAGCTAGCAGAAAATATTCTGTTTAGGTGACATCTACCTTATGAGCACAGGGTGTGATTCCCAGTTCATGTATACGTACTTGCACATCTGAGAGTTAGCACAAGTATATATAGTAATGTTGCCATGGCAGGACAAACCTTCCTGAACCACCGGGGTATGTACCTCCTGACTTAACAGAGTAGAAGATCAAGTCCATGCTGAATCACTCAGATTGCATTTGCCATAAAGTGTTTGGCATTGGCTAGGATGAAGAGAGAAGTAATGTTACACTTACTTATTCCATATGAAATGTATACATTGTAACTTCCATAGGGAAGGGAAGAAAGGCCGGCTGGCACACAGATATTTAATCCTAAATGGAAGATCTTGGTGGAGTGTTCCCAATCAAGTATCATATTTCTCTATTCTGTAGACAAAACATTTTCCACGTTCATAATGTTCCTCTTCTCCTTGTCTCCTCTGTTTCATTGGCATATTTTAGTAGGTTTTATTATATGTTTAGATAAGCAAACTGGGTTTTGTGTAAGAACTAGCTGATTATAAGTATTTTTTCTCCTAATACAGTATATTTTCATCAATATCAATAAGTATATCCTTAATTTCCAAATCTGTGCAATTTACATCTGTTCTATAATGTGCAAACGAGACATTTTAATCATTTCTAAAGTTTGCTTTAAAAATAACATGCTTTAAAAATAGTGTGCCGTTAGCCATGTTCAAAAGGTGCTGTCTGTTTAAAATATTATCTATAAACATTTGACAGCTTAAGCTAGGATAAATAGATTCCTTCAGTACTGTATTCCCTTTGTACTTCCTTCTGCTTACTAAAGAATACACTGTCTTATTCAAATAGTGAGATTACAAATGACACATGCTTGTTAAACCATGAAGTGCTTAAGCATATGCTTAGCTTTAAGCATGAGTAATCCTATTGATAATCCAAAGCAACTGGCAATCATTTCAGGCCACCATGATAGCTGTTCCATTAACAGCAGAAATTCCTCCACTGATACATGTACTAGTAGTCACACGAGAACCAGTTTTGATTCCCTGGCCATTATTCTGGTCTCTCATCGGAAGGTACAAGCTAATTAAGCATTTACCAGGAAAAAATGGTCTTAACAAAAATGTAAACTGGTCCACCTAGATACTGTTTCTTAAAATGGCTTTCTCCATACATTGCCACTTAGTGATGAGTAAATTAAATAAGATTCTTTTCACATATAGAGTACAGTAACAAAACAATTTGGGCTTTGATAATTTAGGCAATCAGAAATTATCCACCATTATTTTCAAGGTGGTAAAAAAAGCATCTAAAGCCAGGGAGCATTTGAATTTTAATTAGTGAAATTGCAGTTGTTTGGCACCCTACTGTGATTTTGGATTACTCAGGCTGAAAGGCATCTCTAGAGTTAAGCCACAGGGGAAATTGGCTGGTCCTCAAGATAAGCATCTAACTATCAACAAAGAAAAAGCAAAAATGGATGGATTTAGCAAGTCAGTGGTAATCCAGGATCAGATCACAATTAAGGATACTTGAAAACTGAACCCTTGTGATGTATGAGGCCAAATATTTGCCCTTTCTAAATATTCTGGGAAGGCCCATTCATCAAAAGCTGGCCAGTGCACTGAGTTTTCTATCTATCTCCTCTCCCAGTGTAATCTGCAGCTTGGAAACAGGGACAAGGTTGGTAAAGGAGGCAAACTGTAGATTTAATTTTGTTTTCATGCTTGTATTGACTTTACAATAATAATTTATGCTGCTAGCCATGTTCAATAAGGTGCTGTCCATTTAAACTGAGGTTCTCAAATGCACTTATTTCCATAAAGCTAGACACAACAATCAAGAAAATTACCTCACCTTTGCATCTCTGTGATGCAAACCATACCTCTTACATTTAAATGAATATGTCCCAACCTTTCTTTTTATTCTACACCTGGTTTTGTTGTTTTCAGTTCTTAGTAAATTACACCTTCTGTTGCATGTGCATTTAAATAAATGCTGTAGCACTAACCACAACTGAGGAAAACCTGAACCAAAAATGCATTTGACTCACACTCCCTTAAAAATGAAGTAGAAGCCCACTATAGAAACCATAGGAGTAAGTCAGTGGAATGGGGGCCAGTGAAGATAATGGAAGTTTAGTATTAATAAAGACTGGTGAAAAGAAGTTGAAATTGCAGGAAAATATCCCCAAAGGATTATTGGATTATTTATTTTAGGGAAAAAAACCGATACCGAGTGTATGTGGTGATCCCGCTGTTGCCTGGATTTGAAGGAGATATTTCAACCGGAGGTGGGAATGCACTGCAGGCCATAATGCACTTCAACTACAGGTACTGTGCACAGTCAAAAAAAGGACATGGTACTCCGAGATCTTTATAGTGATCTCCATGCTTTTGTTGATGTGGTGGTGGTGATGATGATGATGATTTTTGTACTGTGGTAATAACCACAGGCTACAATCAGAATCAAGGCCGTATTGTGCTTGGCGCTGTACATTATTACAGTATGTGGGAAAGAAAATGAACTATTTTATCTGTGATACAGTTTTTACATAACACACCAACAGTTTTTATATTATTGTTATTTGCAATAGTGACCTTGGTCTTAGAGATAGCTAATAAAATCCTTGCTGAGCTTATTATCTAGCCTGCTTTCTGGATGCACCATAAGGCTCCAAAATAAGTTTTTCTACAAGCACATAGAGGTACACTTAATTTACTCATACTTGACATTTCCATCCTTCTCTTAGGAATTTAGATGCTATCACTACGTTTTTTCTAGTTTATCCGTCTGTTTTTGATATTTTTTAGAAGCCTAACAGTATTTTAGTATCAATTTTCCCCGTGGTTTCAACAGAGCTGAAATTAATATGGCTTTATTTTGTTCAACAACAAATATTAGCACTACAACTCTATCTTTCTTTGAGCTCCACCATCATAAAAGATGACAATTCAGCCCAGAGACGAGTGTTTTATTTGACTGCCCTGCTGCCCAGCCAGCAGAGGGAGCTCAGAGTTTTGTGGTTTTGTCAGCCAAGTAAATTCACAGATTGCTTTTGTCAGGGTTCCTAGTTAGGTTTCCTCTGCAGAGCTTGAATTTCTTGCAGGTATCTCTCACAGATCCTGAGATCAGCCTGAGAGGAATAACCAGCTGCATTTTCAAACACAGGCACTTATATTATACCCAGGAAATACATGCATAAGTACTGATATTTAATGTTCACACAGAGCACAGGAGGCCCCATCTAAAAGACCCACACCAAATATATTTCATGGTGCTAAATATATCACTTTGCAAGGAGTAAAGGTTGAGGCAGGCCTCAAAGTTTTGTAATCTTGCAATCCACAGAGCCTGGCGGTAGGGTGGGGTCGGGGAAGAGAGAGATTTTCAAAGGCGCAGATGGCAGGCCCTAAATCCCAATGAAAGTCACTGGGGATTAGGCACATAGCTACCAATTATGCCTTTAAAACTCTTCCCCATAGTCTTTTTCAAAGCTGATGCTTGGACTACTCAGAGATCCCTTCTGATCCTTGGGCCCCGATGCTCTCCTCTCCTTGTTCAGAAGAGAGAAGCAATCCCAGCACAAGGGTGATGGCGGGGGAAGCTCTGAAAGGGGAAGGAAGTGACACTGCTGTGACTGCTTTCTGGGGGGGGACAGCTGAAGGCAGCATGGGTTTGTAAGAGAGCTATGCTACCATAGGGGTGGTGAGACCAAGAGACCAACACTGAGAGTCCAGTGATCGGCAGGAATCGTACTTAGGTTATGTCTGCACAGAGATTTTTCAGCCCTGTTAGCCCAACTTAGCTGACCCAGGCCAGATGTGGGTTTTTTATCCCCATGTAAAAAGAAAAGGAGTACTTGGGGCACCTTGGAGACTAAGCAATTTAAATTTTTTCATGCAGTTGATAGATTCCCACTCCATACGGCTAAATGCAGTGCCTTGCATAATGACAGGTTTCAGAGTAACAGCCGTGTTAGTCTATATTTGCAAAAAGAAAAGGAGTACTTGTGGCACCTTAGAGACTAACCAATTTACTCCTTTTCTTTTTGCAAAATTGGTTAGTCTCTAAGGTGCCACAAGTATTCCTTTTCTTTTTGCAAATATAGACTAACACGGCTGTTACTCTGAAACCTATCCCCATGTAGACAACAATACCTTCCCCAGCATAAGGTGACCGACCAGTGGTGCATACGAACTTCTATGCCTTCTGTGTCCTACACCGATGTTAACATTTGTTTAGGAAGAATGTATTCTGAGAATGTCACAGCTCTTCTCTTTATGTGATACTTAAAATGTGTCTTGTGTTTGTGATTAGCACATTAGGAGTATCGCTAACTTCACATACCTAATTATATGTCATTGCTTCAGATCACTTGTATTTGTAACTGCCGCCTTAATTCTTTCCAGGACCATGTGCAGAGGAGATAATTCTATCCTGGCACAATTGAAAGCAGAGAGTAAGTGCTTTGTTTCCCTCTCTGTGTGATGTTCATCATTAGGTCTTGAGGACACTAAACTTTGATTGATTAGCTATAAAGCATAAATGAGCTCATCCAGTTGCCAGTTAATATAAACTTCAGTAACACAAAATACTGCAATTATGTCAAGAATATCTTCAAACATCTTCAAAATAAGGAAAACACACTAGCCAAAAACATCTGTGTATCTGAAGAAATATAATCAAGCAGTAAGATCCAATCGGTGTCATCCTCGTGGACAAGACTCCCAAAGTTCATTTTTGTTTAACTTGAGATTGTTGTGGTCAAGTTGGTTTCTAACATTGGGTTATGCAGCACAAAGATGGAGTGAGGACAATAGAAGTGGGTATTTTATAGATTGTTGGGTGGGGAATTCTTATGTATGATTCTTCACCACACTTGGATTTTGTTTATTGGATCATATGGCTTTGGGTGGTTTTAGAGATGGTTTTTTGTTACACTGTTGCTTGGCACCCAATGACCATGTAGAGATAAAACTATTTAATTATAACACTGTTATCATCATTGCTTTCTCGGGGTCAGCCTGTGTCCTTAAATTTGCTTGGATGGAAATCATAATACCATGAAAAACATGTTTCATAAATACACGTGCTACATAATACATCCTTGATTCATGTATCTTTGTGCAACTCTGAACTGTAGCTAATTTAAAATAGAAAATGGTTTCCATAGCATGTGCAGACAAAAAAACTGGTTATAACCTCTTCCCCACAGCTCAGTCAGAGAAAGCAACCAACTAGTGAAGTGATTCTCAGACATTAGCATCAATTGGAGGTGCTAGTATACAACACAAGACGAAATGGGGGGAATCCCTGGGTAGCCAGTCAAGCTGCCTATATGGATCAGAATGGCACAGAGAGGCATAGGGGAGTAAGATCTATTTTAAAGAGACTTATTTACTTTAGGTTATTGTTAAGGAGATGTTGGAAGTTAACTGTTTTGCTTTTCCTTGCCTCTGCATTACTAATGACCACCTCTCACTCCCACCTCATTGTCCCTTTTAATCCTCAGTTGGAGATCAGTGGATAAACTACATATCGTTCTGTGGGCTTCGAACATATGCTGAGCTGGATGGAAATCTCGTCACTGAACTCATCTACGTTCACAGCAAATTGCTTATAGCTGATGACAACACTGTCATAATTGGTGAGTAAGATGGTTGCAGGGGAAATTTGTACCATTTGACTACCCCGACTGAAAGTGCACGTGGCTATCTCTACTTGGTGTGCTCTGTTCCATTTTACCTGCTAACACATTCCCTGTGTTGTATATTGAATTTAAATGTAAAGTAATTACAAGTTAATGGGGGAAGTGAGATGGAGGAAGGTTTCTAAAGTGTACTGATTAATTGATAAAGAAATGTGGCTTTGAAATTCCCTTGGTGGTTAAACTTGTCCCACCGCAGGGAATTCTGTCCATTTGTTTTCATCAAACTCAGCTTTAGCCATAAATTGCGAGTTGTCATCTGTTTCTTAAAGAACAGAATGTGCTGTAAAATTTGGAAGGCTTGGGGAACATGTGACCATTGGGAAAATACGTTATAATTTTCATTGCATTTTCATCTGTCTCTCTGTTATTGTATATTTATTATAAGGCCATAAAATAACAACATAAGGCCAAATTCAGCTCTTATTTATACCACAGAATACAAGAGCGGAATCTGACCCAGAGTTACTCCTATTTCTTTAAGAAAGCCCTTTTCAGCCCGTTATAGCAGTATGAAGGCTTTGCTCATGAGCAACATAATATTAGGGTCTTGTAAGAAGCAGAATGATACTGTCCTCCACCTCAGAGACAATCCTGATACCATATACCCTTAGATAGGTTGAAGTTTGGATTGGGAGGGTTTTGCTACGTAGTTATCCTTTTGATAATCTTCTCACGTCTCTAGTATGAAGAACAGCCACAATAGTTTTACTGTTGATGATCATAAACATAGGACTAATGCTGTGGTGCATCCACATAAATGGAAGTGGGAGTGGTGATGTGCTATCTATATGTTTTGCTGTCATCCAGGGGTATGTCTACACTGCAAAAAAAAATAATAAAGACCCATGGCAGCAAATCTCAAAGCCCAGGTCAACCGATTTATGCTTCGGGGGGCTCTTACTCTGGGGCTAAAAATAGCTATGTAAATGTTCAGGCTTGGACTGGAGCCAGGGCTCTGACACCAACCCCCTGGCTGGGTTTCAGAGCCTGGGTGCCAAGAATGTCTACACTGCTATTTTTAGCCCTGTAGCGTGAGCCCAAGTCAGTTGACCCAGGCTCTGAGACACGCTGCCGCAGGTCACATTGCAGTGTAGACATACCCAAGAGGCTTGGGCTCAACGTACCAGCTGTGGAACTAAATACATCCCCCAGTGCTGCCCCATGTATCTGGCACATTCCTATTAAAGTGCCAACATTCCAGTGGAAAAAGCAAGGCCCAGGTTCTGCAGCTTCTGTAGGAGAGCAGTGACACAGATGTTTACAAGCCGGTGAGGCACAAATGTGTCCTCCCTTAAATTTCCTGCTGATTAATTGATTTAAATTATTTAAATTTAATTCCTCCCCACCCCCCAAAAGAAAAGAATTCCATGTGACTGAAGCCCTGAGTAGTTGAAGCACATGGGAATAAATTCTTAGTTCAGCTGCATTGTGGAGGAGTGGGAGTATTTTGAGGGGGTTGATTTTATTTTTCTCCTTCTCACTAGCAACTCCTGATAAAGCAGTAGTCAGTACATTCAGTCACTGGGATTACTAAAGCATCTGGGTTTCTTTATGTAGGAACCAGCTTGTTGCAGGGTTTTTGCTTTGACTGGAGTTTTTGTGGGTATATGTTAATTTGCTAAATCCCAACTATTGTAGTCTCTTGCTGCTCCTTCCCCTGAGACAAACTCTTGTCTGCCTTTCTGTGCCATTTTTTTTTCTCTGATATCTGTGCAGTATAGATTAATCTCTTTTGAAGTTACATTTTTCTGCAAGCATTGGGCGGGCAACTAAGCAAAGTGCCGAAGTGCATTGTCCATTTTATATATGCAGAGTGATTGTGCAGTCACTTGGATGTCCAAATCTGTGGGAGATGCAGGAATGGGCACACAAAGTCAAAGGCTTGCTTAGGGATAGTTGCCAGTTTCTCCCTGGCTGTAACAGGATCCTGACACAAACACCCATTTGAAATAGCTGAGGCATTAGAATGATTCTTGGCTGCACTGGCAGTTAGCTGATCTGTGTTAAATGAGCTGGTTCTCTCAGCCCAGTTCTTAGCATATGGGTGTTCCCACCATAAAGACCACAATCAGAATCTGAACTAATTGGCACCTGGAAAGAGTGACTGAAGACTGGATGACCATAGAGAACCTGCCAGTCTTGGAGATGATCTCTGCAGAACACAATGAAGTACAGTAGCCGAGTACCAGGGAGAAGCTTCTACTACCCATCTCCATTCTTGTTATATGGCCAAATAACCTTATTCTCCAATGCCGTCACTCTGGCACCTTTAAACTGCCATGATTGCACTCAAAACATTTTTAAAGAGAGGGGAAAAGTTATAATTATATATTAGGACATGTGCATATGTTCTGAAAAAATTGCCTGATATTTTGGCTCTTTACATTTTGCACAGTATGTTCTAATGCTACATCAACAGCACAGCAAAGAATAGAAAAAGAACAAATGTCCCTGTTGGTTAGAATGGCTTCTACGCCCCCGGAGGGTATATTTTCATTGTATTGGCAATACTTGAGAACTGGTGCACGTAGCTCTCCATACATAGAAATGAAAATTTGGCCCCTGGGAGTTTTGGAAGCCTTACTTACCAGTTGCTAGAAACTGGAGCCCTCCACCTGCCTCAGTGCAGTATGACTCCGAAATGATTTCTTTCTTTCTTAACCCCTCTTCGCCCCGACAAAAAACCCTGAAGGTGTTTTCTTTTTCTGTTGTTTATTTTAGAAGAAACATTAATTCTACATAAGTGGGCTCTGCTGTGCAACTTACTTTAACACTGATTCTGCCTGGGCTTAGGGCACAAATCCAAGTAAAAAATTTTCCTTTCTTTTATTATGAAATAAATACAGCAAAGAAAATCCATAGAATGACTTCAAACAAAGAAGCCGGCTTGTGTCATTAAACATATTAAATAAAGACCACATTAAACTCTGACCCTTGCCCTTGCATGCCATGGTATCGCTCTGCAAGAATAGCTGGAGGCTTCTGAGAAATTAAGTTTTTAAACCTTTTGTGTTTGATTTAAAATTGTTTAACCTTCTTTCATGCCCTGGAGTTTATGGAGAATGTGGAGATTTTTTCCCCCCACATATTGATCTTGGCTCTTTTGTGGCTCTTTAAATCAGAAGTGGCTTTGATGGAGGATCTGCTCTTTACAAATCTTCATCCTGATACTCTCCATCCTTAGCAACCTAAATTATTTTGCTAACGAGAAAAAAATGGATAATGTTCACATGGCATTTACATTGATCTTCTCCAGTTTCAAGAAGTGGCAAAGGTAATTCAGCCTCCTCTCTACCACCTACTGACAAAGGAGGAGATTTTTAACCTGTGAACTCTCATAGTGTTTTATCACTTGCATTGGAAGAGACTGGGGACAACTGAGCGCAGGTCAGCTAAGTCCAGGCAGCTGAACTTGTCATATGCACATGCAAGGAGCCACACAGTGGTATGGTAGAGGGGGTCGACAGTAAAGTGATGGTGGTAGAATATACACAGAAGAGTGTGAGGTTGGAGGAGAGCTACTCATTGAAACTCTCCTTTACACACAAGAGTGGTATGTCTTTCTACCTAGTCTCAGGGCATACTGTGAATGCTGGGGCCCTGCAAAGGAAGAGCTGGCACGACCCAGTTCTTAAAGTTATTAGATACCTAACTCCCATAGCTTTGAGGATCTGGGCCCATGTCCTGCTGGCGGTAAACAGGTCTATCACTTTGGTGGTGGTCGCATTCCTTGGGGAATTGGTATGTATTGTTTGTGATGTTATAGTTTCTCTGTTTCCTTTGAAAGGCTCTGCTAACATCAACGACCGCAGCATGCTGGGAAAACGTGACAGTGAAATGGCTATCATTGTACAAGACACCGAAACGGTCCCCTCAGTGATGGATGGAAAGGACTACAAAGCTGGACGATTTGCTCAGTCACTCCGCCTCCGGTGTTTTAGGTATGAGTGCTAGAAACTAATTACGGTGCATGGAAATCTCATGCTAAATTCTTGGCTGCCAGGAAGGTCTTACCCAGTAAGGTCTTTTCCCAGCAGGTTGTGGTAATTAATATTTTGTACTTGTGCAGGAAGATGCAGTCCTGCTGCCTTGCAGGGATTGCGTTCCTCATTGATTTTGAAAAGAGAGCATCTGTGCAATTGTCTGTAAAGGATATGGACTGAATTAAAGATATGAGTGGGTTTAACTCTGGGAAAATCAATGAACTTTCACCCACTTACACATGGACTGAGTATAGCCCACAGAGTTTTGTGGTTGCCTAGACTTAGGATTTCCCATGCAGTATCCCTTTCCATCCCCCGCAATGAGTGTTTGGATTACAAATCTTGGAAGTCTGTTTTTGTTAAATTTTTCCTTGACCCCTTCAGTAAGGGGAACGTACACAGAAGACAATGGAACTTTGCTAAGGAACAAATACTCCCACTGCACTGTTATCAGTTGTAGGTGGTGGTGTCTAATTTTTTTTTTTTTTTTTTTTGTACTGGGAATTTGTTCAGTCAGAGAAGCCATCTGGCCAGCAGCACAACAATTCTCTCATTAAAACATTCCCCCTCCTCCCCCATTTTCCATCTGGATGGTTTTTAAACATAAAGGAGGAAATGATAAGGCAGAGCTAAGGCTGACAGATTATTCTGTGTAGGAAATAGCAGCAGACAAGGACATCTCAGTGTGTGCAGCACCATCTATTAAGTATTGAGGACATTATCTAAGGGAACCCTTTTCTTTCTTCTTCAGGATTGAGTTGCTGAGGTTTTTTCACATTGAAGAGGGAATGGGCCTAGTGGTTAGAGCAGGGGACTCAAACACAGGGCTCCACCACTGACAGCCTGATTTTGCAAGATGCTGAACCTCTCTTGTGAAATGTACATGCTCAGCTCCCATTGGTGGGACTGACTGGTATTCTGAACTGATGACTTCAGTCCCCTTCCATTACTACCTTCTGGAAAACCTAATGTTGATTTAGCAGAAGGCTTCTCACTCTCTGATAAATAATATCCCCACCTCTTTGGTATATGTTTGTGCAGTGCCTAGCACAATGGGGCTGGGACCTCTAAGCACTGCTGCAATGCAAATAATAATAATAAAAATAATAACATGGGTCCTTTATGAGTCTTGGCTTTTGGGTGGTTTTCTAGGGTCACTTTACTCAATAACTGCTTGTGTTGTTTTCCTCCAGAAGAAAGCTGATTACAAGGATCACATTCCTGTTCATGAAAATCCTCTGGAGGGTTCTGTGTTACTTTCCAATGACATCAGTTCTTTCCCCCCCTTTTTCAGGGTTGTTCTTGGTTGTTCAACAGACCTCAATGCTGATCTCCAGGATCCAGTCTCTGACAGATTCTTCAAGGAGGTGTGGGTTTCAACAGCTGCCCGCAATGCCACTATTTTTGACAAGGTGAAGTACCTGGCTCGTTTTCTCTTTTTGCTCCCAACAGGCTCACTGTTGACGGATGTAAAGGAGAGAAGCAACATCTTGGCTTTGTGGGAGAGGGACTGGTGGGGCGGGAGGGTTCAAGCTCTAGATCTCATCAAGATGGATTGAATACTGTGTAATGTCATGAAACTACACAAGCTCTGAGCAGGAAAGGGCCACAACAGATGAAGGGTTTTCTTTTAGCCAATGGCATAACTTTTTTGACCCTTAAATACTATTGGCAGACAAGCAAGGTAGCAACTCTGATTCTCCTCACATTTATACACTGATTTTACAGAGTATTGTACAGTAACTCCTCACTTAAAGTCGTCCCGGTTAATGTTGTTTAATTATTACGTTGCTGATCAGTTAGAGAACATGGTTGTTTAAAGTTGCGCAATGCTCCCTTATAACGTCGTTTGGCAGCCACTTGCTTTGTCCACTGCTTGCAGGAAGAGCAGCCCGTTGGAGCTAGCTGGTGGGGGCTTGGAACCAGGGTGGGCCGGCAGCCCCCCTATCAGCTCCCCGATCCCCTAAGTTCCCTGAGCAGCAGCCTCCCAGCCAGACTATCAATTGTTGGCAGTTCAGCTGTCTCTTCCCCCACTGCCATGTGCTGCTCCTGCCCTCTGCCTTGGAGCTGTTCCCCAGAGCCTCCTGCTTGCAGTGTGTGGGGGGGTGCTAATGTCAGGGTGTCCCCCTCTGCTCCTGAACCCCACTTACCCCATTTCCATAGAGTGGGGGCCGGGGGACGACACGACACGACACGGAGGGAACTTCCTGGCAGCAGCTTCTGTCTCTACTTGCGGATCTACTTAAAAAGGCAGTGTACTTAGAGTGGGGTCAGTGTACTTAAAGGGGCAATGCATATCTCTCTGTCTCTCTCACACAGGGGGTGTGTCTTTGTCTGCCATGCTGTCTCCCCTCCCTCCATTCGTGCTGCCTTATAGGGTGTGAGGCTACATTAACGACAATGGGTTAACCCTTGAGGGCTCAGCTGATTGCTAGTTCATCATTTAGCAGTAAGGCATTCCCTGGGAAATATCTAACCCTCTGACTTCATCGCCTCAATCAAGCTTCACAATCATCATTGCTGTGTACCAGTATTAAATTGTTTGTTTAAAACTTATACTGTGTGTGTGTATATATAATATAGCCTTTTGTCTGGTGAAAAAAATTTCCCTGGAACCTAACCCCGCCTGTTTACATTAATCCTTATGCGGAAATTGGATTCGCTTAAAATCACATGTTTCAGGAACATAACTACAACACTAAGTGAGGAGCTACTGTAGTTCCAGTTTCTGGAGCTCTTGTTGTACATCAGCGCGTGTTAGGAGAGAATCAGGCCCTGCAGGAAAGAATCTTCTATTTGGCCGTATGCAAAGCAAGGCTCACTGATCAAGCAAACTAGCTATTGCTAATTTTGGATAATCTCTTGTAGGGAGATTGATGTACAGATTTTCTCATACAGGTGTGTGTACAAATTGTTAAGCTCCCCAGGCTCCATTAACCAATTCACTTCAATATATATGAAGGTGTTTACAGTAGCGTCAGTTTGCGCTATGGATGGCATGTAGTGATATTTTCCTGTATGCTTATGTACCACCTCCTCTTTCCATTTCAAATCAGGTGTTTCGATGCCTTCCCAGTGATGAGGTGACTAATTTAGCCCAGCTGCGTGACTTCATCGCCAAGTCAAAATTGGTAACCCAAGATGCTGCAAAAGCAGCAGAAGAATTAAAGAAGATTCATGGATTTCTAGTGCAATTCCCCTTTCGTTTCCTGGATGAAGAAAACTTGCTGCCTTCTGTTGGAACAAAAGAATCCATGGTTCCCATGGAAGTTTGGACTTAGGGTGATATAGACGGCTTTAGAATTTAAAGTCTGGCTCCTTGGAGACAAGTTTGCATTCCTGATGATTTCAGGAAGCTTTGTATTGCCAAGGTAGCCACCGAAAGGTCTCCATCAAACTAATGTGCCTTTCTTAAGGATTTTGGTGGAACAGCTTCAGACAAAATGACTGTTATGGGGAGGGAAAGAAAATTTGGCACTTATGATGAGTGACAAGCTATATTAATTGAAAGGACAGTACTTCTTTACAGACATATTCTAAGCACCTTAAAGATGCAGGCCACCCCTATGAAGGGAGAGAAATCATAATGTATATTACTACTACCAGCATGATCACACGTGTATAGTGATTGTGATACCCAGGGGTTGTAGGCTGTTTGTGCTTTCTAAATCTTTGTGTGCTCACAGTTATTACCTAGCTGGAGTTACCCTCTTCATCATCTCTATTTTGTATTCCCTCAAGTATTCTCCCACTGCTTACCCCTCCATAATGGTTGGGAAATGTTGCCTGAGGCCAACTCAGATGTTCCTATGATCATTGTCTATCGCGCTTAGATGTTACATTGCGTATACGGCAAAGGGCTAACTCTCTTATGTCAAAAGAAAAGGATTATTTGTGGCACCTTAGAGACTAACAAATTTATTTGAGTATGCATCCGATGAAGCGAGCTGTAGCTCATGAAAGCTTATGCTCAAATAAATTTGTTCGTCTCTTAAGGTGCCACAAGTCCTCCTTTTCTTTTTGAGGATACAGACTAACACGGCTGCTACTCGGAACTCTTACGTCAAAATCAGTGGTGCTGACTCTTCTCCTGGCCCCAGGGGAAAACATTGTTTTTTTTACTACAACTACAGCAATCAACATTCCTCATGCACAGCATGACACTGTAGGTCTCAGTGATGGGCAATCCCTAATGGAGATTGAGGTGATGGGAATCTCTTGAATTCTGTTTTTTCAGGGTTTGCAGAACTTGTTTGAGTTCAGCTACCCTTTTTCTTACTATCTAAACTATAATTTTTTCCCCAAGGGAGAATCAACTTTTTAACCCTACATTTTTCTAGCTAAAGGAAAGCCTGCTGCTATGTATTAGGGAGAAGAGAACCCCAAAAGCTAGGCTGGCAAAACTGGGTCCTCTGTTTTGGATCACAGTGCTGTGTGTATACACTGCCTTAAATACTCCCCTGTGTTCTTTTCCACTGTTTCACTTGTAAGGAACAAGAACCCAGTAACAGTTGAGTAAGAGTTGAAATTTTGAGCTGACGATGTTCAAGGTTGATCAAAGTCACTCATACCGAGTTCGATCACGCTCCAGAGGCTAGTGGGGAGATAGCACTGAACTAGTCTCTGTGACCAGTTCCAGTAACGGAAAGACTTGGTTTTGAACAGTCTCTGCAATGCAGAAGTGTGACTCCAGGTCATCCCAAGGACTGATAAACTCACTCAACATGGTAAATCTTTTTGCTTTCCATTTACTAATACGAGCAGCACAGTTAATAAGAAACTCATAACAATGGGTTCCTGTCTAGATAGAGGGAGAAGCTGAAACTCCCATCTCTGAATGCAGAATGTTAACTGATTCAGTGGGAGTGCCATTCACCAAGCAAGGGCCAAATGTGGCCCTTAATCTGTGGTCCAGTAAAAGCCTTCACCATACCTTATCCATAAGGCTTACAAACTTTTATTGCTTTGTTTTTCTTTGCTAAAAAATTCCAATGATTCCAAGTAAATTTGTCCTTTAAAAAAAAAAAGACGTTTGACAAGCTTCCAATGTGCTTAACGTTCATTCGTTTATCAAAAAACTCATGACACCCTTTTGAAAGATATGCCCAAAACACAGTTGGCACATATCTTACAGTTAAGCTGATTGGTCTGTATATTTTAAGAAAAGTAATTAGGCATAGAGTCATTTTCCAATGCTACATCACGTTAATAAGTAACAAACACTAACATTCCTCAAGGGCAGCCCAAGTCCTAGCTAGTTGCTATGTTTTGTGTTGCTTCATGCTCATATTTGATAGATGCAGTTAGTGATATGGACAGGAGTCACAGCCATCCCTGAGCCTTGGTGAACCAGTGGTCTATTTAATCTGTCAATAGTGCATGCACAACTGCAGTGTGTTTATCGGTACTGTGATTTTGTGTAGTGCACTGCAGATAACTAGGTTCCCTCAAGATTTGTTGGGCATTGTTGTTTAGAATCATATTTGTTGTTTAAAATGAGACACAGGGCTTACCTGCCAGCTCCTGTGCTAGAGAAATATGCTATCAGGCAACCACTGCAAAGCCAGGCAACTAAAACATCAAAATACTTTTGCTTTTAACACTAGCCCAAGGCTTTTAATTTCACGCTAAAAACTGTTGGCCATTTTTAGTTTGAACAAAACTGCTAATATGAAATGATAATAGCCTGCCACATGTTACCATTAAACCACACAAGTATAGATTCATAGTGGAAAGAGGTCCAAACCAGAACAGAATATTCATTCACACCAGATCTACAACCAAACCTAAAGAAGCATATAATGCTCCTATCATCTATCTGTCTAGATGCTCATATGGCTCCTATCACAATAGTACCTGAGCATCTCATGATCATCATTGAATCCTTACAGCACCTCTTTGAAGTGGTATTGAAACTTTGTGGCTTCATAGGTAACGTGACCCAGCTTCTTGTACCCCAGGTTGTCTTTCCAAAACTGCAATGCAACTGACATGCAAAACCCAAACCATTTGCCCATTTCAGATGATGTTAGGGGTCTGATGTCGACCCATACAGCCCAGGAATTTTGGATTAGTATTGAAACACCATTCTTAATCCACCCCCTTTGTACCATACATTGGCTTTGTAGCATTTGCGGCATATAAAATACTTCATAACTTGAAGATCTTGACACCAGCTGAAAACAGAGGGTGGATTCACCCTTGTGCATAGAGTTAGCACAGGATCTATGCAGCACTTTAAATAAGGCTTAAATAGAATTAAAGTAACTTATAGGCATTGTGTTGGCTCTCTGCACAGGAGTGAATTCCACTCAATGTGAAAGGATAGGTTAAGAAATTCTTTATTTTGAATTTCCCTGATTTTGTTGGATGCCAGACTCTTGACATTAACTGAACACCTTTATTTTATTTTCCTTTATGGATGGAGGGAAAAGAAAGAAATATTAAGAAGAAGATGAAGAAAGCCAAGACAAAACTTTGCCATTCCTCATACTTTGGGGAATTGATGCATCTTGAAATTCAGTATTTTTAAATGGAGTCATTCAAATGTTGCCAGGATTCTGGAATCCTCTTACACTTGTAGGCCCCAACTCTGCAAGCTGCTCAGTATGGATGGACACCTACGTCCATGAATAGTTCCACTGACTTCAGTGAAGCTTCACACTACGAGGCCAGGGTTCACACATGCAGAACAACTTTCAGTATCAAGGTACATTACAGGACACAGGCTTACAAGTATTCACAAGAGGAAGTATTCTGCTCTGTAGAATTTACAGTGCAGTATGTGCCCTCACATCATTCTTCGTGCATATTCACAGCAGTTGGTGTCTTTTGTGAATGTCTGTTAATTAGACTTTTCTTTCACATGCTATGAAGCCACAGCAGGGGTGATGTTTAACACCTGGTCTCTGCACATAAACAGTCACCACTCTTTAATTCTTAATACCCTGGCGGTTTTACTTTTACTTTGAATATCCAAAGCAAATCATGGCGTAATCATTTGCAAATATACGGTACTGTAAGCAGTGATGCTGTTTTTAGTGATAGTAGTTCCTGAAATATGTGAACTGTTTTTGTGGCTTTTATTTTTAAAAGATGGTAAGAAAAGAGGAAAAAATCTCTTCCAGACTCAGATTTTATATTTCATGATTCAACCTGGATGGAAGATTTATGGTGGATATTCCTAAACAGGTGCCAGTACGAGAATTCAACATCACTTCTTACCATGTCCGTATATATTTTTAAATAACGGGATATTTTCATATATGTTTTGTTGTATAGATGCAGGATTGGACTTACATTTTAGCATAGAAAATTATGCATTGTAAAAAACCCATGAAAATAAGATTTCATAATCTAAGCACTTCATTATTAAAATAATGTGTACCAAAAAAGCCACCCATTGCTATCCAGGAGATCCCAGGCCTTTGGCTCAGCTTCTGGGCTTGTACTCCCCAAACCAGCTGATGCTGAGAGTGCTCAAGGGCAGCACACTTAAGGTATGTCTACCTACACTGCAGCTGGGAGCAAACCTCCTAGCCCTGCATACAGACTCATGCTAGTGGGTTCAAGCTAAGCTGTGGACGTTAAAATGTTGCTGGACGTGTGGAGTCCAGCAACATTTTAGCTTAAGCCAGGTCTACACTAAAAACTTTTGCCCATACAATAGTGTTGATTAGGGGTGTGATTTTTTTTTAATGACCTTTTTATACCAGCAAAAGCCCCAGTGTAGATGCTGGTAAACCAGAAAAAGCGTATTTTTTGCCGGTGGACGCTGTGCCTACGCTAGGAGAGTGTGTTAGTTTATCTATACAGTCATAGCTATGCCAGCAAACCTTCTCTCGTGTCGACTCAACCTCAGAAGCAAGGCGGCCAGGGAAGCAAGATGAAATGTCAGAGCAATTAGAAATGTGCGGGATTCATAAGCTATAACAGGAATTCGGATAAGCTCCTGGGACTTATCCCAGAAGCGTTGCTGGGGAATGGCCCCAGCGATGGTGGTGAGAGTTTTGGTGGGGACTGGCACCGGAGAAGGATCAATATATCTGTACATTTCCTTTGTCATAGTAGAATCCAGGCATATTTTTAAAATTAACTTCACGTTTTAGAACCCGAGCTTACAGCCATTCTGGCCCATTGCCTTCAGTGGCAGTTTTGCTTAAGTGAAGACTGCACAACTTGCCCTCTTTGATACTATTTTAATGTGTTCTTCTACTCAAATTATGTGATTATCTGCCTTAAAAGGAGACCTACATTTTTACAGGTGTTTGTACAGTTACTACACTGTGCGTTTTATTTAAAAGTCAAGCCGAGGCAGTTTTGGGACAAATGAAAAAAAGTTGGTATGACCCTTTACAGTGTAAAGTTTACACGACTGCTTTTATTTTATTTTTGGATTTTTTTCCACAACTTAGGGCCAGCTCCTCTGTTGGTGTGAATTAACATAGCTCTATTGACCTCAGTGAAGTTCCACCATTTCAAAATCAGCAGAGAATTTGGCCCAGAGTGCCTCCTGACCTCTGATATGAGCAAAGCAAGAGCCTGCACAGTGCCATCTTAGATGTGCAATAGGATGAGGCCGGGCATCTGCCATACTAGCCGCAGGGCTCTTCTCACCCATGCTGAGCCCCACCAAAATCCAGACCCTTGCCGAATCAGGGTGTTAGTTGGGAGTGTTCCTCCATTGCAGAGAATGTAAAACTAGTGTGTAAATTAGATATAATTAGGCCCACAGACTGTAAATCTAAAACTGAATGCAACAGTACTTTTTTTTTTTTTGGCCTTCTTTTCTTTTTTTCTTTTCAAGCACTTGTGACCCGTTCATTTTTAACCTACCAGTGCAGTTTCATAAAATAACATAGATATTGTGAGTAAGTCGTATTTATCTGGCTCTATCCTGATATCCAGGAAGTGAGAGTGTTTTTAAATTCACGGGTCAAGAAATGTACAAGTTTCCGCTAACTAAACTAATTGATAAAACTAGAGCTTCCAAAATATTTGTACTTCAGATGTACAAGGGTTGACATGATTCCAACTTGCTGTACTTCTCCGCTTTAGATGGATAAAATTGTGAACAGAGTGAATGCTCCTTCTGTGAAGGGTTTTGAATTGACAGTTTTGTGTCCCTGTTTCTGCTAATGGCTGCTTCCTTCCCTATCTATTATTGTATTTGGTAAACAGATATGTATTAAGTGACTAAAATATAACTAAATATAACGTATCAGAAACGTTTGGGTGATGACTTTTCATTTTAAATTGCTTTTGGAATGATGATCATTTTGCAAGCCGTGGACCTAATTCTGCTCTTGCACCAAATGAAGAAAACTTCCTCAGCAATCAGTGGAACTCCATAGCAATGTAATGGCAAAGCAGACTCGGTGAAAAAAATCATTAAAAATGCAGCCCAAGATAAAGTTACCACTGGGACAAGGAGATTGCTAACTTGTCTGTAGTCAATGAAAATCAATATATTTTAAAGGAACATTGCTACAAGAACCCTGAGTTCTAGAACCAGGGTCTGTAGGGCTCCCGGCAGGTGCTACATCCTTGTTGCAACCAGGGACTCAGTCAGGGCTGTAACCAACAGTACTGCAGGAAGTCCCACCCTAAGAGGCATGAATGGCAGCCCTCTGCAATTCCCTGATTGGCTGGCACTCCCTATATAAACCAGGAAGCCATTTCTGGGAGTTGTTTGATTAAAGTAGATCTTTGGTGTGTGCTTCTGCTCTAGATCCTGCCTCACCTCTCCTTGCTGTGACTCACCTTGACCCTGGCTCTTAGGCTCAGCTCCTGACCCTGATCTTGGTTTACTGACTTTGGCTTAGGACCATTACTGACTCCCCACGCTAACCCAGCCTCACCCTGATTCTCATTCCATGCTCTCAGTTGGATAATGGACTCTGACTTTGCAGTTTGATCTGCTCTGGCCCTGAACTGATCTCTGACCTTGGGTCTGAAACCAAGCAGCTCACTTTGTGCCCACAACACTCAAATCAGGCCCCAAATTTAGATTTTATGAATACAAGCTTTGTCATGCAGTAGAAATGTTTCTATAGAAGTCAGTGTTTCTCAACGGGTGGGTCCCATCCTTTAGGAGGTCACAAAAGGCAATTGCCCGTTGTGATGCATTGAAAATTTTATTACCATCTAAAGCCAAGAAAATCTTGCTCCCCTCATACCCTCCCTCATCAAGGTCAAGTGTTCTTTGTCAACCTCTCAAAATACACACCAATGAATTATATAAACTGATCATTGTTATTATGGATTGTCATAAATATAAAGGGAAGGGTAACAACTTTATGTATGCAGTACATAAAATCCCTCCTGGCCAGAGGTACAGAATCACTTACCTGTAAGGGGTTAATCAGTTCAATTAACCTAGTTGGCACCTGACCAGAAGGACCAATGGGGAAAGAAGATACTTTCAAATCGGGGGGAGGGGGGGAGGTTTTGTTTCTGCTGTCTTTGTTTGTTCCCTCTCAGGACAGAGAGAGAGAGACCAAGCAGGTAAACCAGCTCCTACAAAGATACTTGAAATAATACATCTAAAATTATAGAAATTGTAAGTAAAGGCAAGGAAATGCGTTAGAGTATCTTTTGTTTTAGCTTGTGAATTTTAAGAGGGAGGTTTATTTCTGTTTTTGTAACTTTGAAGTTGAGCCTAGAGGGGAATCCTCTGTGTTTTCAATCTTTTTATTACCCTGTAAAATTATCTTCCATCCTGGTTTTACAGAGGTGCTTCTTTTACTTTTTTCTTTATAATAAAGTTCTTCTTTTAAGAACCTGATTGATTATCTTTAGGAAACTAAAAATCAAAGGGTCTGGTCTGTACTTTTAGTAAAGGCAATTGGCCTCCCCAGGAAAGGGGGTGAAGAGGTTTGGGTGGATATTTTGGGGAAATAGGAACTCCAAGTGGTCCTTTTTTGTGAATCTTTGTCTAAATCACTTGGTGGAGGCAGCAATATAGGACAAGGAAAGGATTTGTGCCTTGGGGAAGTTTTTAACCTAAGCTGGTAGAAATAAGCTTAGGGGGGTCTTTCATGTGGGGCCCCACATCTGTACCCCAGAGTTCAGAGTGGGGAGGGAACCCTGACATGGATACAATTTTTTACTCTCACTTTTATAATAAAATAAATGTAAAGGGATTGTGAAAAATTTTGACTTTGAATAAGGGGTGGCCAACCTGAAATGTTTCAGAAACACTGGTTTAAGGTAGCCAATGGAAATATTTTTTTAAAACTGTCCTATGGTGGGTGCACCCCAAACATTTTAGTCCCGAGAACCTGAAAGTGAAACTTACTATGGGACAGTCAATATAGCCTAGTGAATAAGGCATTGGATTGTGACTTTGAAGACCTAGATTATAGTCCCAGCTGTTCTACTTGCCTGCTGGTTGACCTTGGCCAGGTCACTTCACCTCCTTGTGCCTCAGTTTCCCCATCTGTAAAATGGGGATAATAGTAGTAATCTCCTTTGTAAAGCACATTGAGCACTACTGATGAAAAGCCCTGCATAAGAGCAAGGTATTATTATTATACACAAAAGTGAAGCTGACTTCACTGAGGTTGCTTTGTCCAAGCTGAGAGAAACAGCAAAAGTAAAACAACACTGAGAAAATTTGACTTTTATTTTAATAATCCAAAGGTACATCTGCAAGGAAATTTGTCTGTTTCCAACATGGCTCTTAAATTGTCACTGTCCATTTTAAAGTTGAATAAAGGAAGTTCTGAGCTGAGAGAGAAAGGAGCAGCCTATTGCTGACCTCCATGAACAAAGCAGCCATAGAATATTCAAACTCTTTTGCAAAAACAGAAGCATGCTAATTCTCTGTTTCTTATGCTTTACTCGCCCTTCCAGTGCCCCAAGGTTATCACTGACTTCAAACCTTTCCAATACAATCTGTTCCCTGGATAGACACAATAAACCAAGATAAGGCAGCAAGGAGTTTCAATGAGTCAGGATGCGGCTGGGACTAAAGTAAGCAGCTCTTGATTGACACCTTAAGCCTTTTCTGCCCTGACTTCTAAATCTCACAGCTAATTATATGCTTCCTGCATCAAACTTCTATGATCTTGGAAGTGAAGATAACAGAGAAGAGCAACAGTAACACTGAGGCCTGTCAGTCACTTCTCCGTCATGGAAGTACTGGCTGGAGATGTTGCAATGATTATTATTATAATGTACTGTGGACACGCTTAAAAAGACAGCGTTTGTCTACAGCGACCATAGTTATTTCCTATTCCAAGTGCAGGCGAAATCTGTGCTATCTCAATGTGCAGTCATGTTGGTGTAGAACTAGTGTACAAGAAGAAACTGCTCAGAATAGAGAGTTATGGGCCTGACTGTCATTTACAGAAAGGCCCCTTTATACTGATGTAAAGCAGTCTCAGAGTAAAGGAGAATCAAGCCCATGGTTACTGTGCTCACATAACTGTGCATGTTGTGCGTTATTTCGTCTGTCTGATGGTAGCCTGTCTGGTTTTTTTTAAGCCGTAGTTTCTGGTTCATAATCCACAGTTTGCATACCATGCAAGGAGGAAAAGAAGAAAACTTCATAGGTGAAATCCTAGCCCTGCTGGAATCAATGGGAATTTTACCATTTTGCCATTTTACTTCAACACTTGCTGGAGGATTCTCTGCTCCTTGAAGTCTTTAAACCATGATTTGAGGACTTCAATAGCTCAGACATAGGTGAGAGGTTTTTTGCAGGAGTGGTGGGTGAAATTCTGTGGCCTGCGTTGTGCAGGAGGTCAGACTAAATGATCATAATGGTCCCTTCTGACCTAAATATCTATGAATCTATGAAACATGGCTGGGATTTTACTAACCATACATAATTCAAATGAACAATTTACACAGCTGGGTATTCCTGTAACCCTCAGCCCTTGCTGAAGGAAAAGGCAGCATACATGTATTTTGAACAATAGCTGCCACCGCTGCAGTGTTTAATGGGCTGGTTCTTCTCCAGGATGATCCTCTCCAGCCATCTTTACACCGAGGGGAACTGACCGTGCAGCCAGATAATCTCCCATTTTCGGCTTCCTCCAACAGGTAAATTGTTCTAAAGGTAATCTGGCTCAAAACAGTGTGCCGGAAGCCTTTTCTGCCCTGGAGAGGAAGCAATAGAGGATTCTCTCTTTCTCCCCGAGGCTGTTACGAGCGTCTGCCTTCAAGGGCCATGTTGTGAGATCAGTTCTTTGGGCCTCTGCTAGTAGAACGTTGATCTATTGAAGTCTCAATAATACACAAACTTTTAAAATGGTATGTTTTTTTTGTATGCATGGAATTACTAAGGCATTCTAGGTGTTTGGGTAGAGGAAGAAGGAAAAATTATAAGGCTTTGTGGCGACAGCTCTAAAGACTCATAGAAAATAACAAGAGGTTTCTTTTATTCCCCAAAAAATCAATCTGTTTTAGTTTCTCTGCAATTTGTGCCATCTCTTCTGATTTTCAAGTATGTCTCTGAAGCTTTGATGCAAGTTGAATGAAGGCTTTAAGAGCTTGAATCACAACAGCACGGTGAGTAAAATGCTCATTTTTTATTGGAAAAATCAAAAGTGACAGGTACAAAATTAGTTCCACTGCTTTGATTGATTACTTGGAATATTTAGCTCGGAATGATTACATCAAGAAGACCTATTAAAGTTGAAGCTGGCACATAAATTAATTTTGGAAAAATTCTTCCTTTTTTAAAGAAAAACTTTTCTGCAGTGATAAAGTGTTTATAACTAGAAACAGAGATGAATAATCTTCTCAACAGTCAACCTGGTGTGAATAATTAAACATACTGTGAATTAGTATTTGAGAACAAAGGGAAAGGTATTATAACACAAAGATAAAGTTATTGTGACTGCACAAGTCTCTGTTATCTTGAGATTAGCACTGGCTACGAGGAAATGGAAGAGCGGTCTAGCTAGAAATGCGGTCAGCCATTGTGTAGTTTGCTACTAATGGCCTTTCTATACTGTATGTCCCTCGTGGGAAACCCTGCAAGCTTTGTGCATGTTGATGAGTCTTGAATCATAAGGAAGCTCTTATTGGTGAGGAGGCACTATGGGTTACAGGTTTCAGAGTGGTAGCTGTGTTAGTCTGTATCAGCAAAAACGAGGAGGACTTGTGGCACCTTCGAGACTAACACATTTATTTGGACATAAGCTTTCGTGGGCTAAAACCCATATCATCTGATGCATGGAGTGGAAAATACAGTAGGCAGAAATATATACACAGTACGT